ATGGGAAGATTATTTTTTGGAAGTTTTTGCACTCGCGGTGGACGACTGGCTACAACGGCGATTTCCTCGCCATCTGTTTTCTATAGAGAGAACCTCTTTTCTTCGATGGAATGCCGGATAGATGGCATGAAGTTCCTGCCTTTCATGTCTACTTCTTCATGCCTGTATCTCTTGACCTTGGACTTCGTTTTCTTTTGTTTTTTTTTTTGTTTTTTTTTTTTTTAGTAGATGGCTATCGAAATTGGATCCATGGTGTCAGTGGATGCGAAAGACCACTTTCATTGCTCAAAATGTCGATTCTCGCCGAATTCGAAAAAGAGTTTCTCCAAAAATTTTCATCTTGAGATGGAATATTCCTAAGAAACTTGTGGAGTACTTCCAAGGAATACATTTAAAAATGTCATATTTCAGTATTCGCGTGCTAATGTTAGCAGACGCACAAACATGCACATTGTCTGTGGGTGTCAGTGCAAATATAACGCGCAAATTTCGGACATTCTAAAAAAAGTTGAACAAATTCTCCATGATCTAGCTCCATGGATGGGGTTTCTTCAGCTTTTTGTTCGTTTATTAGAGTGCGAAGTCCAGGATGCCAGATGTGGCATTTCATTCGTCCGTCCGGCAACCCTGTCGACGCTGCCACGAGCTTGATGCCGCTTTCTCCCATCGTCCAACGTGGTTCCGTCATCCACGAAGGCTGCAGGGGAAGTGGAAGATTTAGTCGTTGGCCGGTAGCATTACTTCTGTTAAATCACACTTAAATGCGAAGTCTCACTTTTGGAAGATGTATTTCAGTTTAGCCTAAATTTATTTGCCTTGGAAAATGTGACATCTCGAAAAGTCTGGCTTCGGCTCAGTTGTAATGAAATAGTTTGTAAGGTTTGCAACCGGCAAAAGATGAAATCCAGGTTCCCAGTCAGGCTTTGCATCGGGGAGCGACCCGACAGAGCCGGAGCAACAGCGCCCCCAGCCCAGGACCCTGGCCCTGGCGGAGGGCTGCGCATGCGCTCTGAGCCGAATCGTCCGATTGCCGTGGGGACCGTGGACGGACGGAACGGAGAAGCGACTGACAGTCCGCAACATCTTCCGTTTCCCCATAAAGTGCGAAGATGAGAACCTTCTCGATTTCCGGGAACGGAAAATTGTTATTCACTGGGGTACGTCGCACGTGACGTATCACACAAAATGCCGACTCAGCTGACGCAGCTTACGAAAGACGACAAGGATGACAGGCATTTGGCGTTACAAGAGGGCATGACTCTAACAAATATTGTTATTCACTGGAGTACGTCGCACGTGACGTATCACACAAAATACCGACTCAGCTGACGCAGCTTACGAAAGACGACAAGGATGACAGGCATTTGGCGTTACAAGAGGGCATGACTCTAACAAATTTCCACATTTAGGGGAACGCAATGGCAATGCGGTAATGTACAAGTATACCAGCAGTGTGCAGACTTTCCAGGTCGTGCCCCCCTTTTTCATCCGCATATTCGGTCGAGCCCCCCTATCTCCCTTCCTTCCCCCTCTCCACTGATTCCGTTTCGACAGAAACTGACTGTAATTTCGGCTAAGTTGGCACGAAAAAGGAAACACGAATATGTCATTTTGCATCTTAATGTTCGCATGAGTTCGCGCCCCCCCCCCCCCAGTTTGCACACCGCTGATGCATGCTTCCCCATATATGGTCTGAGGACCCGAATGTGAATAGATTCCATTGCGGATGTCACAACGACGGTCTGAAGGCTACATGCCGACAAGAATTTCCTATGCAGGAAATTCTTGGTGGGATTTTAGGCTGGGGTAATGAGTAGTACTAGGTGTTGGGCCAATACTGGACCGACGTTGGCTGTATCCTGGCCAATATCGGCTGAATATTGGCTCTCCGATATTACCATTAAATCATCGATCCAATATCGGGTCGATGCGATGATCAAACGTGCCTAGGTTGCCCCCGAAAGTCTTCGGGAAATTTTGAAGTTCTCCTCCAGGCCACTAGATGGGGGTGTGAGTCTCTCTTTTCGAGCAGAACACAAAAATACCTTTCCTTCTTTCCCTGGAATCGTACCTTGCAGTATTGTTTGGTACCTTGCCATGTGTGTCGCCGAGTCTCATAGGAGGAATCTATAAAAGTGGCCATTTCTTCATTAATTATCCCCATATTCGAGACTGATTCATGGCAGTCTGGCCATGAACAATCTCATATTCCTGTTTAAAAAACTCATTAAAATAAATAACAGACTAAATGGAAGAAGAGCTCAATGGTATTAAGCGAGTGCTCGAGTATTTAATTCGCCGTTTTCTCATCCGGTGGACAAAGTGAGAAAATCAAGAGTTGAATTACAGGATACGCCGTCGACATTGAGGAACATTCCTCTACCGAAGGGAAGATCAACTCTCGAATTAAAATGACGTCTTGAAGCTCTTCCAGCAAAACCATACACGGACAGGATGGTCAGGCAGATAGGCTCAAAATCCATCCTAAACAAAAAACAAAAAACATAATATTCCCATAGTTCGGTACCTGTCCAAATTCGGAAGCAAAAAGCGTTTCGTGATTGCAGCGCGGGTCTGCCGGGGAAGGAGGATTTTCCTGGAAATCATTCGGACGTCGTATGCACGATGTTGTTGGGAATAACCGCCAATAAAACGTCGGTCGCAAGTCGTGATGAGACTCGCAACTCTTTGCATTGAGGTCGTACGTGGAACGTGGAGGCAAGAAGTCCAGTTTCACCCCCCTTTCACTCTGAGAAAGGAGCGAATTTACTCCATCACCAAGGAGTAAAATGCTCTCCTCCTCCGTGAGTAAAAACGCTCCCATTAGAAAGTGATAGGGATGTCATGCAAATATTAAAGTTCTCATATACTGTGCGTCGTTTCGTTATCGTACAGGCTTTCACCTACCTATGCCTGTACTATATGCAGCACATGTCAGAGGGTGGACGACCTCTTATAGTGAGATATCTAAGAGTGTCCGAGATACCAGTTCCTTATATCCTCATTTCATTGCGATGTGACTGAATGAAGTTCACGGACACTCTCTGTGTATTCTACAGTAGATCTCCTATGCAGATATTATCTAACCCGTTACAAATGGGTTCTCAATAGGAATATGAGCTTGTTTATGGCCTGGACTCCATGAATATTCCTTGAATATGTGGATAACAAATGATGAAGTGTACGTGTTCATTTATTCCTATAATGAGACTAGGCGAGACATACGGCAAAGTACTAAACAATCCTGCGAGTGACGATTCCAGGGAAAGAGGGAAGGGAAACTTTTGTGTACTGTGCGAAAAGCGAGACACTTACCTCCATCTAGTGGCCTGACGAAGAACTTCAAGGTGTTCACTTCCATACGAGCGATGAGGGAGCATCTGTTGTGTAATAAGAGAGTAAATTCGAAAAGCTCACGGTGTGCTCACCTTTTACTCCCCAAACGCTCGGAATTTTCTTAGAGTGCAGGAGCAACTTTTACATTTAGAGATATAGATAATCAGATCCCGGAAAAGAGGTCATGTCGGCGAGAATGAGTTGACATGGTGAGGTCATTTTCAGAACGTCATTTCGGAACATCATTTTTTTTTCAGGGTCGTGACGGGCAAAAGGCACAAAAAAAGGCGGAATTTTTTTTTCTTCTTTCTCTCAATGATTTCCCTTCAATATGAATATTCCGATATTCATATGAAGGGAATATTCCAATATGAATATTCCGATACAACCATGTATTTTCATTAAGACATGCGACAGTAATTAAGCGAAATATTTCGAAGAAATTCCTTTAAAATAAAGAGATGAGGGGAAGAGTTAATCATGTTAACATTCAGGTTCTGGTAGTTCTAGTAATATGCTTCCACACAATTAATGTACTTCCTCACATCGTCCGNGTCCCCCCCCCCCCCCCCCCCAGTTTGCACACCGCTGATGCATGCTTCCCCATATATGGTCTGAGGACCCGAATGTGAATAGATTCCATTGCGGATGTCACAACGACGGTCTGAAGGCGACATGCCGACAAGAATTTCCTATGCAGGAAATTCTTGGTGGGATTTTAGGCTGGGGTAATGAGTAGTACTAGGTGTTGGGCCAATACTGGACCGAGGTTGGCTGTATCCTGGCCAATATCGGCTAAATATTGGCTCTCCGATATTACCATTAAATCATCGATCCAATATCGGGTCGATGCGATGATCAAACGTGCCTAGGTTGCCCCTGAAAGTCTTCGGGAAATGTTGAAGTTCTCCTCCAGGCCACTAGATGGGGGTGTGAGTCTCTCTTTTCGAGCAGAACACAAAAATACCTTTCCTTCTTTCCCTGGAATCGTACCTTGCAGCATTGTTTGGTACCTTGCCATGTGTGTCGCCGAGTCTCATAGGAGGAATCCATAAAAGTGGCCATTTCTTCATTAATTATCCCCATATTCGAGACTGATTCATGGGAGTCTGGCCATGAACAATCTCATATTCCTGTTTAAAAAACTCATTAAAATAAATAACAGACTAAATGGAAGAAGAGCTCAATGGTATTAAGCGAGTGCTCGAATATTTAAATCGCCGTTTTCTCATCCGGTGGACAAAGTGAGAAAATCAAGAGTTGAATTACAGGACACGCCGTCGACATTGAGGAACATTCCTCTAAATGCACCATTTTTGGTACACCGAAGGGAAGATCAACTCTCGAATTAAAATGACGTCTTGAAGCTCTTCCAGCAAAACCATACACGGACAGGATGGTCAGGCAGATAGGCTCAAAATCCATCCTAAACAAAAAAAAAAACAAAAAAAAACAAAAAACAAAAAAACATAATATTCCCATAGTTCGGTACCTGTCCAAATTCGGAAGCAAAAAGCGTTTCGTGATTGCAGCGCGGGTCTGCCGGGGAAGGAGGAATTTCCTGGAAATCATTCGGACGTCGTATGCACGATGTTGTTGGGAATAACCGCCAATAAAACGTCGGTCGCAAGTCGTGATGAGACTCGCAACTCTTTGCATTGAGGTCGTACGTCATTCGCCGATGGAACGTGGAGGCAAGAGGTCCAGCCGTCGGCCCGGCGACGGGGCGTCTCGGGCGGTTTTTCGGGTGAAGAATGAGATGGTGCAACCGATTCCGGTTTTAAATTGGACTTTGGGGGGGATCGAGGATGAAGGTGATCCCGAATTCATTCTCCTTTTTCGAGTCGGTGCTCGTTTGACGAGAAATGCAGGTCAAAAAACGGATTGGAAGAAGAATAGCGGGGAAGGAAGGCGGGGATTCGAAACCCGGATCCATCGACGAGAGTCGGTCTGGCCCACATCCTTTTTTCCCCTTCGAGTCGACTGAAGGAATTCGCAATAGAGGACCTTCGCCTCTAACCCTAGGGGGTTGGGGTGGGGGGGGGGGGGGGGGGGGGTGGGGGTGCTCGGAGAGAATTGGATCGGCAGTCATGTCGGCGGGGATGAATTGACATGGTGCGGTCGCTTTCGTTGCGTCGATTCGGAGCGTCATTTCATTGCGTCATTTCGGAGAGTCATTTCCGTGCGTCATTTCCTTTTAGTGCCGTGACAGTCGCACACTCTTAGAAAAAGGGGAGCGATTTTTCCCAAAAAAGAGAGTAAAATAGCTAACTCCAGTTTCACCCCCCTTTCACTCTGAGAAAGGAGGGAATTTACTCCATCACCAAGGAGTAAAATTGCTCTCCTCCTCCGTGAGTAAAAACGCTCCCATTAGAAAGTGATACGGATGTCATGCAAATATTAAAGTTCTCATATACTGTGCGTCGTTTCGTTATCGTACAGGCTTTCACCTACCTATGCCTGTACTATATGCAGCACATGTCAGAGGGTGGACGACCTCTTATAGGTACTATAGTGTCCGAGATATCGGTTCCTTATATCCTCATTTAATTGCGATGTGACTAAATGAAGTTCACGGACACTCTCTGTGTATTCTACAGTAGATCTCCTATGCAGATATTATGTAACCCGTTCCAAATGGGTTCTCAATAGGAATATGAGCTTGTTTATGGCCTGGACTCCATCAATATTCCTTGAATATGTGGATAACAAATGATGAAGTGTCCGTGTTCATTTATTCCTATAATGAGACTAGGCGAGACATACGGCAAGGTACTAAACAATCCTGCGAGTGACGATTCCAGGGAAAGAGGGAAGGGAAACTTTTGTGTACTGTGCGAAAAGCGAGACAATTACCTCCATCTAGTGGCCTGACGAAGAACTTCAAGGTGTTCGCTTCCATACGAGCGATGAGGGAGCATCTGTTGTGTAATAAGAGAGTAAATTCGAAAAGCTCACGGTGTGCTCACCTTTTACTCCCCAAACGCTCGGAATTTTTTTAGAGTGCAGGAGCAACTTTTACATTTAGAGATATAGATAATCAGATCCCGGAAAAGAGGTCATGTCGGCGAGAATGAGTTGACATGGTGAGGTCATTTTCAGAACGTCATTTCGGAACATCATTTTTTTTTCAGGGTCGTGACGGGCAAAAGGCACAAAAAAAGGCGGAATTTTTTTTTCTTCTTTCTCTCAATGATTTCCCTTCAATATGAATATTCCGATATTCATATGAAGGGAATATTCCAATATGAATATTCCGATACAACCATGTATTTTCATTAAGACATGCGACAGTAATTAAGCGAAATATTTCGAAGAAATTCCTTTAAAATAAAGAGATGAGGGGAAGAGTTAATCATGTTAACATTCAGGTTCTGGTAGTTCTAGTAATATGCTTCCACACAATTAATGTACTTCCTCACATCGTCCGATGACGCACATAGTGTTTCGTCCCAATGTCAGATTTTATTTCATGAAATTCCCTCAGAAGGCAACGACAAAAATTTCCTACAATCTCTGGAGTTCACAAAGAGAGTGAAATGGGTTGAACGAGCAAAGAATAATTATCTACCATTACTCCAATTGTTATTCATTTTTCACCAACGAAACTGAATCATTTATTTTAGTTATACTCATTACAAAAAAAAAGAAGAAAAAGGCAAAAGTAATTGCAATTGATTACTTCATTCCCAAAGAAGCACGATTCGAGAGTTGCACCGAGAAGGATATGATCCGTTCTCAAGGTTTTGATGATCCAGCGCGAAGCTAAACGGATGTTTTTTTTTTCCCTCTCTTCTCGGATGGGAAATGATATGGCATTTCTCTGACCTTATTGTGTGGTACGGTCGTCAAAACGTAAGAGAGGACATATAAATCCTCGGACGATCCCGCTTTCTCCGCCGATGTCTACGTCGAGTCGCTCAAGTGAGGAGATGCCGCTCGCAACACCCTCTTTTCCTCAGGTCAGCTGTTTCATTCAGATTACAAGTCTCGATGATTGATTTAATTCGTGGCGATCATACAAGTCTTAAAAAAATTTTTCCAATTTGAAAATATTCCATTTTTGAGCGGTGTTTGCATGAATTAAAAATAAAAATCCTGATTGGAATTTTTCCTTCGTAATCCAGAAGCACATGAGAAAGTTTTTTATTTATTTATTTATCTAATCGCAAGCAATTGACGCTCTCAGTTGCAATTTAATTTCGCTCTTTGACAGAAGAATGTCGTTACTCTCTGAAGGGGTTTATTGCCCAAAATTGAAATAATTTGATCCAATTTCTTTAAACTATGGACGTAGTAAATAGCTATGATGTAAAACTAGATTTCCAATGCCATTGGCATTTTTGAGCGCAGGAAGAAATCAACTAAATAATACGGCTATCTCCTGAGGAATTCATGTGATAAACATAAAGGATATTTTCCTCTTTCAGGTTTTTCCCGAAATGTCAAGTCTTAAAATCCCGGGAGAGAAATTCTACACAGCTGTCGAACTCCAAATCAAGTTCGTGCAGCTCATTCATACAGAGTTTCACTTTTCCGAAAACCTAAAAACAATGTTTCCTGTTTCCTTGCTTTTCTTCTTTAGGGAAGCGCCTCCCAAAAGTGACTATAGAAAGCTAGTGGTTCTTGTCACGTGCTTTCTCTACGTCGTGATATTTCCTTTCTTCTTCGTCGTCGATATCGGACTGGATGTGTATGCCGGTCGGTTGCAGCGAACTAATCATGTTACAATGGTGAGCATGAACCACAACGATCTTAAAAGTCCACCGGGAATAACCTGGAATTTTCTATAAACCTTGACCAATACGCACCTGAATCAAATTTGTGCGAATATCCCACAGATGGAATCGCGAGGTTTGCCAAGAGAGAATCTCGGAGGGAAGGTGACGACCGACGGGAGTTCCGAGTACGGGATCATTCAGGATGCAGTCAGCGGATCAAGTCTCTCATCTTCCGAGTACGAGGATGTCACGTGGGTCAGTCACGGGACCGTGCATCACCTTGGAAGAGTCCCGCCATTGGCTAATGCATGGCAGGTGCAGTTTCCTCTTTGCTCTCACATTTTCCCTGAAGCGAGGTAGGGTAGTCATCATACTTCCTCGTGAAGCCCCTTTAAAAGATATTAGGGGAAAATGCAACTTGAGTTGAATTCATGGCATCCCTCCTTCATGCTCGACTTCACACGTTCCTGTTCGTTAGTGAAATCCCACTTTCGAGTGAATGATATCATTTTTAAGGTCCGAAGCACCTCAGGGTCAAGTAACAGGAATTTATTTTGGAACATTGAGGAAATGCATTTCCTCTTACATTTTTCTCAACTTCCTATTCCATCCATAGTTGCATGGTTTATTCCAATCATCTTTCGTAATTTTTCATCATTGAATGCAAAGAGTCGGGAATGAAATAATGAAGAACTCCTACCTCCTCGGTCAGTGAATAATATTCCCAGAACTATCTGATAATGATTCCCTCTGATAATGAAATGACCATCACCTGTTTAAGCGGCTTTGTCTACAGCAGGCATTTTTCCATGTGAGCCAAATTCTCCTGCACACTATGGCCTTAGTATGTTTCTACCGTACTGAAGACAGCAAATGTATGAGATTTTGAGTCTATAATACGAATACATATTGTCAGACGTTCAGTGTGAGCTCTGAGTGAGAAGCTGATCGAAACGGATCACCTGCTTTTAAAACGTTTTTGCATTACATCAGCATGCAATTTCATTAGTCAAAAAAGCCCATCCTCTAACAAAGGCATTAATGCGCGCCGTCAACAATCACACAATCGGATCGAAATGTTGCATATGAGGTTCATGATTATAATCATTTCTGAAAAGAAGGAACTGCAATCAGAACCAAAAAATGCAAAGGAATTTCCGCTTCCTCTACGAATTGTTGTAACACAAAAAAAATGTTAAACAGGCTCACAAGAAGTAGGTGGAATAACAGGAACGTTCCTTACTCCTCCCTCGACGCACATTAAGTATTGACAATGCATCTCTCCTTCCCTTGAAAGGAAAAAGGGAAAAAGAATCATGGTAAACATGGTTTTGGTCTTCTCTCTCATTAGGGTCCCTTGTCAATATCTTTGTTCCTGGGATCGGTGAAGGATTTGGAGCCGACCAAAAAAGCAATCGAGTGCCTGAGGACTCAACATCCCATCCTCGAACAGCGCACTACCTTCAGCTTTGTGTTTTCCCTCGACGACGAAGACGAACCNCACACGTTCCTGTTCGTTAGTGAAATCCCACTTTCGAGTGAATGATATCATTTTTAAGGTCCGAAGCACCTCAGGGTCAAGTAACAGGAATTTATTTTGGAACATTGAGGAAATGCATTTCCTCTTATATTTTTCTCAACTTCCTATTCCATGCATAGTTGCATGGTTTATTCCAATCATCTTTCGTAATTTTTATCATTAAATGCAAAGAGTCGGGAATGAAATAATGAAGAACTCCTACCTCCTCGGTCAGTGAATAATATTCCCAGAACCATCTGATAATGATTCCCTCTGATAATGAAATGACCATCACCTGTTTAAGCGGCTTTGTCTTTCGCAGGCATGTTTCCATGTGAGCCAAATTCTCCTGCACACTATGGCTTTAGTATGTTTCTACCGTACTGAAGACAGCAAATGTATGAGATTTTGAGTCTATAATACGAATACATATTGTTAGACGTTCAGTGTGAGTTCTGAGTGAGAAGCTGATCGAAACGGATCACCTGCTTTTAAAACGTTTTTGCATTACATCAGCATGCAATTTCATTAGTCAAAAAAGCCCATCCTCTAACAAAGGCATTAATGCGCGCCGTCAACAATCACACAATCGGATCGAAATGTTGCATATGAGGTTCATGATTATAATCATTTCTGAAAAGAAGGAACTGCAATCAGAACCAAAAAATGCAAAGGAATATTTCCGCTTCCTCTACGAATTGTTGTAACACAAAAAAAATGTTAAACAGGCTCACAAGAAGTAGGTGGAATAACAGGAACGTTCCTTACTCCTCCCTCGACGCACATTAAGTATTGACAATGCATCTCTCCTTCCCTTGAAAGGAAAAAGGGAAAAAGAATCATGGTAAACATGGTTTTGGTCTTCTCTCTCATTAGGGTCCCTTGTCAATATCTTTGTTCCTGGGATCGGTGAAGGATTTGGAGCCGACCAAAAAAGCAATCGAGTGCCTGAGGACTCAACATCCCATCCTCGAACAGCGCACTACCTTCAGCTTTGTGTTTTCCCTCGACGACGAAGACGAACCAATGTGGAGGTTCTGGAATGGAAGTTGCGACTCCATCTCGGAGATCTTGGATGCAAGAAACGCGAGTCTCGCTCGAACCAAGGTGCTCTACCCGATCAACCTCATGAGGAACGTGGCAAGGAACAGTTCGCGCACTCACTACTTCGCCGTTTGCGACATGGATATCACTCCTAACCCTGGACTACGAGATGGATTCAAGAAGATGGCGAGAAATAATAAAATGATGGAGACTGAGGATGCCATATACATCATGCCGGTTTTTGAGTTGGAAAATGGAACTCCTAAACCGAAGAATAAGATGGAGCTACGCCTCCTCTATGAGGAGGGAATCGCACGACAGTTTTTCTTCACCTGGTCTCCTCTTGCTCAGGTGAGATATTCGCATCCGTAAAAGTATATTCTAAAAAAGAGTTGGATTAACTTTGGAAATTCAGGTACCAGGTAAAAGGCAACACGACGGAAGACCACCTAGTCGGATTCAATGAGCGTGTCAAATGCATTTTTTTTTAAGTTAAACAATAGATCCAGACGCACGTCATTGTTTGCAAAGCCACACAACAGGAAAAGAAAAGATTCCATTAATACGGAATTTTCTTTTTTTTTTAGGGACAGACTGACTACGCAAATTGGTTCGCTCTCCCACCTACTGATGGAGTCAAGATTGCTTACGAAGTGGAATGGAGATTTCTATATGAACCCCTATTCATCGCCCCAAACACTGCTCCCAGATATTTCGAAAAAATCAAGGGTTACTCTTACGAACAAGGAACTCATGTGAGTGTTTCCATTTCACTTAAGCACTTTAATGACAAAAGAGAGGGTGTGGCAGACTGTAGTTAGCGAGGAACAATTTTTCGACAAGAATTTTATAATTTCATGCAGTAAAACATGTCAATTGGGTCGGTTCAGATGATTTCCACCAGTACTCTCTAGTACAAATCAAAATTGTAACTGATAATTCAAATGAATGACTTTCATTTACTTAAATATTGTCCCATAGGAACTTATTGTCATGGGAAATAGTGGAAATAAATCGGAATCATGCACCGACGGGAATAATCATGGACGCCTGATTAACGGGTTTTTCGTCTGTATATATTGTAGGCATGCGAACTGAGTGTCTCCGGCTGGAAATTCTACGTTTTGGACAACGCATTCATCACCCACGACGGATTCAAGCTCTTCCGACAATCGCCATTCGTGGACAGGATGGTGAGGCAGAGGCTATCGAATTCCGTCATCTCCCAGAGGATTTACAAGGCTCAGCTATTGTCCCGCTACGGAAGAAAAGCGAGGCAGTGCTCCTCCTTTTGGTATCGTGCCACGGAAGTCACTTTAATGACTGTCGTGCAGTTTTACTGATGGAATTTTAAAAATAATTTATTCACATTTAGTTACATTTCATGCTGAATACCTGAATTTTTAGGAATTGAGTGCGCTGGCGCCTTGATGAAAATAACTATTTGCATTTATATTATTTATTTTTTTTTTCCGATTGCCGTTTCTCTCACACTGGAGAGGGAGGGGGAAAAACGTGATATTTTTCTTCATGCCTGAAAATAAAGAATTGGATGTGTACGCCTATTATACATCTCTACATCTCTAAAAAAATTCACTTCCCTCTCTGAGTACGGTACCAGCAGTGTGGGTGTCATATTTTGCAACCTTGCATAGAACAAATCTCCGAAACAGAATGTTAGACCTTTTTATTGTCTTCCTAATAAATTTGTTGATTGTCATGATTCTGCGAGAATGATTACTTACCACTCCCTTATTCCTGTATTTCGCCGTATATGCAAGAAAAGCATGTTTCCGGTGTTCATGGGGAGCATGATATCGAGAGAACCTTGCGATAAAGAAACCTGCTTTCCAAGACTTGATGGAATCGCTATTACTTGGCAAAATCTAATTGGTGCCCATGCGTCATCACATTCGCATTTTCGGGCACGAACGCATAAATAACCTAAATTAAATATCATAATGATATATTTATGAACTCATGGACGGTCAGAGAACGAAGACGACAGGAAAGATTTAGATTTGCAATAAGAAATGAAGCTATATTTATAGATAAATTCGTAAACAAAAAAGTAATGTAAAAAGACTTTGAAAAAGGTTTGTCTTGAAAAATTTAATTGCACGCTTACTTCAACAATGGCAATGAAAATGGAAATAAAAAACAGTCACTCTGAGTATTCCTTTTCCTGTCGACCTTGAGAAGTCTCCGATCGAGGCAACAAGTTGCCGTTCAAGAAAACAGGAATAAGTGAATTACGCCTAAAACCTGTGATTGTGCCTGGCATATTTTGAGGCACGGGGGCCAAAGCACCATCCATCCAAGAAAATTCATGAACACCTAAATTGGACGACGGCTGCTCCAAAGGGATGAATGTTTTTCCCATCTGAAGTCACCTGGAGAAGTCTCCGATTGAGACCACAACATACCAACTTGACTGAAACACCCAATCATAAGGAGCTCCAGATGAACAGAAATGAGCTGTGATTCGTACGAAGCATTTTGCACGGCTGCATGATTCTCGTGAGTTAAAGTAAGTTTCGTGAGACTTCATGCTGCCTAAGACACACGAAAGGTATATTTCCTCATTCATTGATATTCGATACTTTCGATCGATAAAACTTGAGATAAACTTTTTCATTGTTAGGATCGTAGTAGAGCATAGAGAGATACATGCATGCGTCTGTGTCACCCATAGAGAAGGGGAGGGTTGCGTGTGCCCCCCTGTCGCCAGAAAAGTCAGTTGCCTTTTCTGGCTCAGGTGATCACTGAGGATGCGTTAGTTTTAGGGACCTTTTCGCAGCTGACATTGGATTCGCAAAACCGCGAATTACTCAAACAGAGCTGCTATCATTAGCCTTTCCACTCCTTAAGGAAGAATTCGAATGTAATCATTCGAGCTGAAACGCCGACTGCGTGCAAATCCGAATCGGCAGTAGCATCGACGAATGAAATGTCTTCCTTCTTAATTCCTTTCCGCGAACGACTTCCCTCATTCCTACTGATCACGCATTCCATGATAATAAGAAGTATTTTAAGAGCGAAGGCAGAAATGAAAGTCAGAGATCACCGTCAATTTTTACTATCTTATTAACCTTTGGATAACTTACTCCTGGCCCACCTTTTCTCACAATACCTTTAGGAGGAAAACGGAGGATTGGGTTCTATGGTTATTTTCCACGTTCAAGAGCTCCTTTAGGATAAGCTAATTTTGTCTCGAATAAGTAGATAACAAAGGATGAAGTGTCCGAGTTTATCGATTGCTATAATGAGACTAGGCGAGACATATGGCGAGGTACTAGACACTCCTGTGAGGAACGATTACAGGGAAAGACGGAAGGGTACTTCTGTGTACTGTGGGAAAAGCGAGACCTATACTTCCATCTAGTGGCCTGACGTAACAAAAACAAAAGTCCTTGTCATATCAAACGGCAAGAGACAGAACCCTCGGGAGCATTGGATACACAACGGCGAAAGCCTAGAGGTACTGAACTCATTCAATTACTTGGGAGTGGTTATATCACAGACAGGCAACTGGACTCCTGCCATGAAGCAGAGAAAGTCACAGGCTAGAAAAGCTCTTTGGCAACTGTACCGAATGGCTGCAATATTTGGAAATGCCAACGTCGAATTGCAATTACAAACATTTGATGCCTGTGTGACGTCAGTTGCCACCTATGGCTCGGAGATCTGGGGACAAGGGGACTCAAAAGGGCTTGAATCCATACAGAACACATTCTGCAGATGGCTACTGGCTCTCCCTAGAAATGCACCAACCGCAGGAATGCTGCTGGAACTGGATAGAAGATCTGTGNAATTATATCTGTCCCTTCTGTCGGCAAGAAGAGGATGAATTACATCTGCTGCTCCAGTGTCAAGCATATGAAGATCTGCGGCATAACTACATGCCAGAACTCCAGGAGAGGAAAATCCAAGCAGAGTATCTCCCTGTCGACACGTTAAGAGACGTGTATGAATCGGCACTGACATGGAGGAAGCTAGCAGAATATACAAGAAAGGAGCTGGAGCGAAGAGAAGCCCTCATAGATAGATAAATTTGACTGACAATGGCTGTATACATGAAGCCTCCAAATAAATACTTCTTCTTCTTAATCAATATGGAATGCGTGATCAATAGGAAATGAATGAAGTGGTTCGGAGAAAGAGATTAAGAAGGAAGACATTTTATTCTTCAATGCTACGGCCGATTCACAGTTTCTCGATTCGCAATACTGGAAATCTACGTATATTAATTGGAAGTCAATATTGATCCAATATTCGGATGCTCAGCAAATAATCCCATTTAAATGGCGAAGGTTTTTTATAAGGAATATGGACTTGTTGATGGCCCCAGCAGCATGAATCTCTTTCGAAAATGGGAAAAACAAGTGATGAAGCGTTCCCGTGTTATAATTGCCATAATAACACTACGTCAGACGTGGCGAGGTGTTAAACACTCCCGTGATGGACGATTCCAAAGAAAGAGAAAATGGCAATTTCAAGTACTGAGCGAAAAGCTCAGTACTTGAAATTGTGTTTTGGAAGAAACCCATGCCTTTATTTAATGGTCTGGGTGAGAACTTCAAAATTTAACAAATATTTTCAAAGTGCAAATTGGCCACATTCGATCAACGTGTATGTTCGACTTAGCATAAATGATGGAATGGCAATATTGGGAAGCCGATATTTAGCTGGGATTGGTAATATTGATCGAGAGGTAGCCAACGTGCGCCATGCTGATTCAGCATTGAGCAAATATCTGATGGCTCTGAGGTAGGGTGGGGTGGACGTGCGATATAGAGTGCACATACCCAGTTTTCCATAAAACCAAATGTAGGGTAACGTAATGATATATTATAGATATGTATAATATTGAATCCATAAAATGGTAAGGCGGCCAAACTTAAAAAGCACGTAATAACAATTGTCACAACGACGGCCTGAAGTAGACATTCAAATTCAGGAACTTCCTAGTAAAACGTTGGGCTCGGGGAGGCAGCGAATGCTACTCCAGCGTTGACCCAATGTGGATGCTAAAAGTTGGTCATGCATATTCAAGGATGGCATATACAATAAACCAGTACAGTACAGCAAAAAAGGCAGTACAAGAACGTACGTCATGAGTCGCGATTAAGCCGTGCGGCTTTCGCATCGCGGTAGTACATGAGTCGCAAGAACTGATAGAATATACTGTTTAGTCATGATGGAAATTTCCAGAAGGGCACAAGCGTGTAACTTGTTTGTCAGCCGACAATGAAGCATCGTCCTTTACTATATTAACACTAGATGATGGACCTTAAAAAAATTAATTGTAATTTCCGGATTTGAATAATTAACCTGGACTTTCTGGGTAAGGAGATGAAGGCGATCCATGTTTTATTCTCCTATTTCCCGTTAGTGCCCATTAATAGCAATGTGGCAGATCAAAATAATGATTGGAGGAAGTGCAGCATCCGTGAAGGTGGGAATTAAATCAAGGTTGAAACCCGGATCCATCGACGAGACAGCGTGCAACTTTTAAATGAATTTAGTAATTGATTTAATGTAAATTTAAATCAATCTCCCCCTCATTTGAGATTTTGAAGGTTTCGTCGCAAGCTTAGGGACACGTGGGCAATGATTATTAATATTAACGAAGCCATATGAACGAAGGGAAAGATATAGAATCGGTATGGCCCCAATCTTCATTCATCTTTCCATTTTCCTTGCTCTGGAGTGGATAGAAGAAATTTGCTATCGGGAACCTTTGCAAATCCTCTCCAGTCCTCGAGGTGCTGGAAAAAACCTTACGATCTTACCTCGCCAAAATCCAACGAAACCCGGAAAAGGCGGAAAAGTTGTTGCGCCAAGCTGAATTAGATCCCGGAAAAGCAGTCATGTCGGCGAGAATGAGTTGACATGGTGCCGTCACTTTTATTTCGGAGCGTTATTCCTTTTCAGTGCCGTGACAGGAGCAAGGCAATATTTACGTTTAGAGCTTAAAAATGCTTTCCTTCGTTCTCCCACTGATTTCCCTTTTGATATTCCGATACACCATGTAATTTCATTAAGACATGCGACAGTAATTAAGCGAAGGATTCCTAAGAAATTCCATTAAAATGCAGAGATGAATGGAAGAGCTAATAATATAACTGTCCAGGTTCAGCTAGTTCTAGAGATGTTTCCACGCCTCTTCAGTTAATGCGCTTCCTGAAATCGTACGGTGACGCTCATATTGCTCATCCTCGATGTCTGCCTTTATATCGCGAAATGCACTCGGAAGGTAACAAAAAGATGTGCCGTGACAGTCGCACGAGCAACTTTTACGTTTGGAGATATAGATAATCAGATCCAGGAAAAGCAGTCA